CGGGACTTGCGATCGGGAAGGTATATAATTAGGCCGGAGTGTGTATGTGGGCGTGGTTTCTTATTTGCAATGAAGCCCACCAGCCTTTGCAAACACTTCCAATAAACTTTACTTCTGACTAACTCAGAGTGAGATTTGTGGTGCTTGTTTCACACACTTGGAAGTGCTTTTAAATGATTTTCTAAGTATTTGCTCTTGAGTTATTATCATCCTGTTACTATCTTTCCTTTCCTTCAAAATGGGGTCTGGGCCTATGTGAGAAAAAAGATCCCTAGGCAGATGACTAACTATGACCTAGTCAGTTGCCTCCCAAGGCCAGAGACAGAGTTGGGCAATGTCAGCCTGTCTGCACACCTCTTTCCCTGCAAAGACAGCATTTTAATGTGCAGTCTAACTAGGTATTTTGATTAGCTGGTCACCTTTCCTTGACTGATTTTGATATCATGTTATTTCTCCATGAAGTGAACCTATTAGAGCCAGTGTGGTATAGTGGTGAAGGTGCTGGACTAAAAGTGGGGAGACCCTGGTTCTAGTCCCCCCTCCCTGGAAGCTGATTGGCAGACTTTGGGCCAGTCCCTCCCTCTCACCCCAGCAGCCAATCAGGTGTAGCGAGAAAGGTTCTGGACAAGGAGGGGGGAGATCCAGGTTCTAGTCCCCCTTCAGCCACAGAAGCTCATTGGCTGAATTTAAGCCAGGTGAGATGCAGATCTAACAAATAAATAATATAATTGAGCCATCCAGCAGGTAGCCTGTTGTCACAAATGCAACAATATTGCATGTGAACAGATTGAGAGGAAATATCATTTCTAAGTAAACTAGATCATGCTCAGACTGATTCTATCAATGTCCCCAATGGAGTGAATTAAAGCACAGCCAGATTAAGGAAACAAAATGGAAGTCATAATGCATGTAAAACATGGCAAGGTTTTGTTCACGTGGTTGCAGCTGCCATCTTGACTTCTCACATTCTATTAATGCAGCATTTTTCATTTTATAAACACCTGCATATGTTGCTAATCCATGATTTCCTAACCAAGAGTTGTTGGCTGCACCAGAACTGGCACAAATTGTGCTGAGCCGTGAACTGTGGCTACAATATCTGGGCTTCAACCTCAACCAAAGTCGAACAAACCAAATTATGGCTCACTGTAATGTGTAAAGGTAGCCTCTCTGTATTATCATGATGATGTTTGGTCACACAGTCAGCCAGATGTTTAGACCGGATTTGGCATTTTGGTCCACCTATCAAGTCCTTCCCAAGGACCTGGGATAGGCAGATGTTTGATGGGGTTAAAGGGATCGTCGCAGGACGGAAGCTGTTCCAAGCAAAGCTGCGTTTTGCAACAGACTGATGGTGATTTTGTCAGTGCCGAAGGTCTTCAAGGGGTGCTCCAGATGTTTTGGGATGGCACCCATGGCACCTAGGACTATTGGGACTCTCTTTGCTTTCTTTTGCCACAGTCGTTCTGCTTCTATTTGCAGGTCTTCATATTTTGTGATTTTCTCCAGTTCTTTCTCTTCTCTTCTGCTGCCTCCAGGTATTGCAATGTCCACTATCCAGACTTTTTTGTCTTTCTTATCCACAATTGCTACGTCTGGGGCTTTGTGTGGCAGGCGCTTGTCTGTTTGAATTCTAAAGTCCCAGAGCACTTTCGCGTCTTCATTTTCTATCACTTTGTCTGTTTTGTGGTCCACCAGTTCTTGCTTGCAGGCAAATGGCATTTCTTGCAGAGATTCCAATGCACTTTGTCATGTTGATATTTGTAGTCAGTCTGTGCGATCTTCCTGCAGCAGCTAACCAGGTGGTCCCCTGTTTCTTCAGCTTCTTTGCAGAGGCAGCATTTGCTGTCTGTTGCTGTCTTCTCAATTCTGGCTTTGTATGCATTTGTTCTGAAGGCTTAGTCTTGTGTAGCCAGAATTATGATCCTGATCCTGATCATGATCATTATCCTTTTTTTATATATATATAAAACTCAAGATGGTGAACATACCTAATACTTCTACTTCCTATTTTCCCTACCACAACAACCCTGTGAGGTCAGTTGGGCCGAGAGAGAGTGATTGGCCCAATGTCACCCAGCTGGTTTTTCATGCCTAGGGCAGGACTAGAACTCACATCTCCTGCTTTGTGGACCAGCACCTTAACCTCTACACAAAACTGGCTCTCCACCTGATTCTCTCTCACTCAGGGCGTCTTCTCTACTTTCATCTCACCACAGGACAAACATGCTGAAACAACTTTCTTCTGCTGTACCCTAAGGTGTTGCTTTCATCTCATTCTCACCCCATAAATGAGGCAGGTTGGGTCAACCGCCGCTAACACTGAGATCAATCTCAAGGTATGTAAAATCTGTTTGGTCTTGCCACCTGCTGGTCTGAAGGGAAGTCAGGTAAATGCAGTGGCTGGGGACAGAGGGAAGAGAAACAACCGGAGATCAGCAGGGGGGACTGCAGAGTTCACGCTGGTTTACTTTTCTTCCAACTCAAGGCATGTTGCTAAAGCAGCAAACGATTCCAAGACTTCGTTTAATACTCAGAGGCAATGAACAGAGAGCTAGCTAGCCAAGTGCTAGAAAGAGATTCTGGGAGTTGAAGTCCATGCAGCTTAAAGTTGCCAAGGTTGAGAAACATTGTTTTATAGTTTCATTTCACAGGATTGGGAGGATAGTATTTCGAAAGGCAGAGGATGAACTTAATGAGGAACCCAATGACCCATCAGAAGAATCTTATCTGCTTACCTCCAGCGATAAAGCAGATTCAGGAGATTCAGTGAGAAGCATCTCACCGTTGGGACGCTTGCTTGGCATACAGAAGGTCTCCATACAGTTTGTAACAACTTGTCGGTGTTCAACATTCGCAATATTGAATTAGAAGGACCAGTAGTTACAAGCAACTGAGGAAGGTTTCAGTGTCATTTCCTTATGTATTTATCTGACGCTTCATAACCCTTAATTAGAAATGGCCACAGCACAAAGACACTCCACTAACTGTCCTCATGATATGGCTTTCATCTCATCACCAGCCCAACCCTTCTTGAGATGTTCTAGGGTGGAGGTGGTGTTTTCTTTTTTCTCCCGACATAAAACTTCCCATCTGGATAATCTCAGGGAGGAGCCTGGGGATGAAATGGTCAAGGCAGCAATCTTCCCACCTCCATGTTGGCCCTGTTAGAAGAATGGTCCTTCCCCATGTGGTTACTGGGCACAGCAGCTCTATGGCGATTTTGGTTTCGGCTGTGGAACAGATCAGACATCTGGTTTGTGCAGTCCCTTTTGTGGGGGGGGGGGCTGAATATGGGAATATCAACCTCATAGAAGGTGAGCCTTCCAGGAGATTGATAGTCCCATGTTCAAGCGACTCCCCTCCCCCCCAAAATATGAGAGTTTACAGATCAGTGGGCAGAGGATATACGTGGTAACTGGGAGGAAGCTGATATGGACATTGATGGAGGTCCTTGAGGGTTCATCCTGTACCTCTCGTCATTCAGCTCTGCTTATGGATAGGTGGGGAGAAGGCAAGACTGGAAAAGAGATTCATTGGGCAGGCCTTGAAATATGCCTATGGGGAGATGGCAATGCCAGTCCAACAGTCTCTGGCCAGCAAAAGTTCACCCTCTACCTTGCCCCCACAGAAAAGCAATTTGATCCTCATTCATTCTGTCTACACAACCCTGACTTTCGTAATCATTCCACATTTATTCAGCACCCATTCATTCCTGACCCTATCTCTTCTTCTTTGACCACCCATTCCCTCGCCATTTTTGCCTGAAAGCTGTTTATAGAAAAAGTCTGGAGCTCTGTGTTAGGCATGCCAAATTCCCCGCAGATTTTAAGTTAACAATTTTCATAACTGGACTAACAAAATGTGAAGAATTAGAGGCATTTCCAAGCAAGGGACAAAATGTAAACCCCATTCCTTCCGTAGTTGTGTGTGACATCACAATGCAAGAATGAAAGGGCGGAGCTTGCATTATGACATCATGATTCACGATTTGTAATTTTTGGCATCGTGATTAGGATCACACTAGATGGTTTGTCCTATGACATCCATCAGACACCCTGGTTAATAGCTAGGGATAATGGGAGCTGTAGTCTAAAAGCCTGAAGACACGGCTTTGTGATCTAGCCTGGGGATCTGATGGTGTTGGTGTGGACAACCTGTCAAATGGTGATATGGTAGAAAATGAACAGTACTTTCCTGCAGACTGTGTTTATTATGGTTAATGTTTTTATTGTTTTCAATGTTTTTTAATTATTTATTTTCCCTGGTTTTGCGGTTATCTTCGCATTGCTGTTATATAGCCTCCCAGAGCTATATAAATTTAATAAATAAAATGAAATAAAGTATCTGTAGACTACCAACTCGTTTGCCCTGTCCAAACCCTGAAATCATCATCATCATCATCATCATCATCATCATCATCATCATCATCATCTTCTACAAAATCCATGGAATGATATTTAATGAATGAACTAATTATGATTTTTTTTTTTTTTTACCGAGATGCATATGCCCCTCCATTCCTCCCCAAAGGCTCTGAGTGGCTTACAAATGATACGAAAGAAAGTGGGGGGAAAGCTGCTTATGACCGTCGCGGAAGATGGCTAAGGCTGGCATCCACAGCCCTCTCTATATTTTCTTATCTCTACGTCCTCCCGCGATCACCGCCCTCCTCAGGCGCGACCCTCGCAATGCCTCCCGGGAGTGGTGGTTTCCAATCCTCTTCCGGCCGCCTGCGCGGACAGCCCATCGGGCGGCGAGAGAGCCAGCGAGAGGAGTCCTCCCCGCGGGTGCAGAGCGCCGCGCATGCGCAGGAGGGGGATAACCATGTGGGCTTCCGCGGCCGGGCGGTGAGATGCGGAGGGCGGCGGGGCGAACCGATGCTGAAGCTGCAAGGGACGCTGCTGTGGGGCCCAGGTCGGTGTTCCGGACGGCGGGCCGGGCCGGGGGGGCGGCGTGTGGGAACTGCCCAAGGAAACCTTCGCCTCGCCCCGGGTCTCTGGGGAAGGGCCGTTTGCCCTCTTAGGGGCGGGTGGATTTGAACCCGCCACTTTCCCCTCGTGGTGGGGGGGGGATAGGGGCACACACACACACACACACCTTGAAATTTGGATCCCCTCCGCGTCCTCGTTGATTGGCAACGCTTCGCCAATTTGGGCGGATCTCGGAAGGGCGGAGCAGGGTTGGCCCGGGTTGGTCCTTGGATGGGAGACCACCAGGAAGGGCCACGAAGGTGGTCCAGAGGGGGAAGTTGAAAGAGATGCCTCGGAAGAAGGCTGGGATCAGCCGCTTCTGTGTTGACGCTAAGAAACCTGCCCGGCGGTGATGCCCCTGAAGGGATCGAGAGCCAGGCTCGTGGGAGATCTCGCCTGTCATTTATTTCCCGTCGTTGCCAGGGAAATCCACTCCCCCCCAACGAAGAAGGGAGCAAAGCCCTGTCTCCCCCCCCCACCTTAACGCAAACAAACTTAAACTGTTTTTAAAATGCTTTAAATTTTTTTATTGTGGTATTATACTGTTCTTGTATAATTGTTTTACCTGATGGTTTTATTGTAAGCTGCCCAGAGTCACGTAGGTGAGATGGGCAGCTCTGTAAGTAAATAATAAAAGGAGGGTCTCCAAACGGATGCCAACTCCTCTCATATAGCTTCCTCCAAACCCTT